AATATTGTAAATAAGGGATAAAAATTAAAATTTTGTAATTCTTTTTTTTTAATATAACATGCCAATTCAATGTAATCAATATAATGTATCAGATTTCAATTAAAATAAAGCTGGGCGAAAACAAGGATTTTTAATGTAGCACTTTTCCTTTTAACAACTATGTGTGTACTACATTATTAAAATTACTTAATATTGGAAAAAATTTTCTTCTATCGAAATATACTATGTATTTATTAATATTAAAAATTATTAATATCTAAAAGCTGCCAAAATTTCAGACTCCTGCATTCTGCGGTCTTAAAGAGAAAACGATATTAAAAATTTAAAAAAAACGGATTTTAGATAACGGTAAATTTTGACGGCCATTCTGTTTTTTTAAAGTTCCCAAAAGCAGAAAGCCACGGTAGAAGAAGAATGCCACTATTTTTCTTAGTTTACAAAATTTGGACAGTGCTTATGGTTTCGCTGTAATTAATAGTTGAAAAATAGCATTTTTAGTGTTTTAGGGGTACAGAAGTACGTTTCTAGCAAAGATCTATGTACATATGAAATTCCAGCTGTCTATCTTCAAGGGTGTAGACGTTTTGTAAACGTGTCCACAGACGGACGGATTGACGGACAGAGCGAAAATAAGAGGCACCATTTTTCAAAATTTGTTTTGAAAAGTGCTAACAAAAAATTATAAGAACTAAAAAATAAAAACAAAAAACAATTTTTAACGTGATTTTAATTACGATGTAAATTAGGTACTAACTAATCATATATCGTAAATTTAATATTATAATTTATTTTTTATGTATAGTCATTAATTAAAAATGAAATAATGTTGTATATGTGATAATTTTTAATCTGACTTTGTATACAATGTTTAAAAATTCCAAAAAAAAAAAATTTAAAAGGACGCATATTGTAAATCATAATATTGAAAAATTTTAATATTTATGCAGTGGCTAGCTAATAAAATATATTGAAGATAATAAGTTGTAGTTCATATGTTGACCACATATAATGTTGAAAGATTACATATAAATTATTTATAATGACGTATATTTTAGAAATATCTAAATTAATTATTTATTAAAATAGAAACTGCACATATGTATACGCATAAGGAAGCTAATAAATATTGTAACATATTATTATAAAATATTATCTAACTTTCAAAATTATTAAGAAGCAATTCATAAATTTAAGCAATTCTTTATGTGTACATAGGATGTAAGTTGCAAGGAAAAAATTATTATATTTGAAAATGATCCGGAATTAATTTATTTGCAATATAAATGGATTTGATTTATTTTGATTAAATTTGAATTTGGAATTTATAGTACATTTGGGAATGGCGTAATCTAAAATATACGTTCTTATTCTGTATCTATTTATTATTTTAAAATTAATTAAAAAATATGCATAGGAAATTTTAAATTATTACATTAACTATGTAATTTATATTTTGTTCATATACCATAACCTATAAATTTTATTCATCTCTGACATCGAAATTGTAAAAATACCGTATTGATACACAATTCAGCAATTGCCATTCATTAGCTGAATTTAGTGTTATTACAGTATTATTACAATTCCAATCTCAGATTAAATACATATTTATGTAAATAATTCTTAAATGTATTGAAATTTGTTAAACAGCTTTTAAAATTTCAGAAGTTCTTATTGAATTTTACAGCAATATTGCGTTTCAGGAAATTACAACATAGGAAAATATTGCGATATCAAGAAATTTTCTATTTGTTCTACATGTATAACAATTTCGTTCTATCAATCTCTCGTAATTAAATAAATAAAATATTCTGTAAAATTTTTGCTTTCCAATTTAGAATTCAATTGATCCCAATTTAGAATTTTAAATATCACAAAATTTATCACTACTAAACACAAAGTCAATGGGTTTTACTAATATTAAAAATTAAATGTGACATAATATTGAAATGACGCTCTTACACAAACGCATATTACGTACATATATGTGTTATTATGTACAATAGTTTTCACATGCACTTAAAATAATTTAAAACAAATTTTTATAATCCGATACAATAGATTTAAAGATTTCAATTTTATTAATTGTTTACAAAACAATATTGTGAACCTCAAGAGTTTTCTAATGCATATACCGTTTCCCTTTTCGGAAATCAATTAAATTCTATTACATTGTTTATTTATCATTAGCAGTTTGTATTAATTTTTATAAAAGAACTATTTCAGAAGGTTTTTTTTTTGTTTTTCCGATAAAACAAATCTTATAAATTCAAGGCAATCAAATAAAGAAAAATTAATTGATAGATTAACAGGGTGTTTTTAAATGCTAAAAAATAGCAACTTTGCGTTACTAAAATTGATCTGCATTTCGGTAGACACTCTTTATATGTAAGAAGCGTCTCGCATTTGGTAAATAACAATTAATTTTGTTTCACTGATTTCTTTTAAATTTATAAATTCAGTGTCTTAGGGTGTCGTAATGCAGTAATATATTTCTCATCTTCGATTCAGCTATATATGTGTAAGCTGAATATATCAAGTCATACAGTTGAATTGGATTTACAAAAATGAAGTTTTATGGTTTTAAAAACGGAATTATTTAAACATAAAATTCACAGTATTTTATTGAAATTCATATTATTTCTATAGAAATATTGGAACTCCCTGACTTCAAAACTGTTCCAATACGAACACAACTCAGTTCACGAATTTTAATTCCGGACTTGTGTAATAATAGAGCCTGGAATTTGTTGAGATTTAAGCACAATATTGTACAAACAATGAAATACAAGAACCCTGTACATGACACACTTGTTCTTATACATATTTGTATGTAAAGTGTGGTTATACTATTGTATACACATGCGTATACAATAGCTTTTATTGTATATTATGAAAAGAAATTTGAGAAATAATTTAATTGTTTTTAATTAATATCAAAAGATTTCGAATGACCTAATTCCGACTCATACTCGTATAATATGTACTCGTGTATGTGAATAATATTTACATACATTTTCAAACAAAAATGCTCACTCAACAACACAAATATAATTATAAATACACAAAAGACTTATACACCTATATATATATATATATATATATATATATATGTATATAGACTTTTGTCAAATATACAATAATTTTCTCAAGATACAACACTCGAACAATATGGGGAAGTGAAAAGAGCACAAATAAATCAAGTTAATTGAAATGAATTCAATCGATAATTGAAAAATTCAAAAATGCAACTCTAATACATAGGTTTGTATGAATTAATTTTGATTTTTGTTTAATAATAATGCGACATTTTGAATGTCAAAATTGTTATATTGGTATTTCATATATACAATTATTTTTCGTTCATTCATATGGGAATTTAATAAATTTGTAAATTGTATAAGTCAATATAGATAACATGTAATTGTATACTAAGTTTCATTTAATGATGGAAAAATTGCAGATATCAGAAATAATTGTTTTTATAGATTGTAATTAAATACGAAGTATTTTTTTTACTATGGTTTCGATTTTTAAACATTTCCAATGAAATTGAAAAAAAAAATGTTCTTAGTTTCATTATCAATTGGTCTGTTCAATCACTCATGCATCTGTTTACAAAAATTCTACAACCTTTAAAATAATCTTTGAACATTTGAAGGTAATTTTCTTCTTTCTTCCCCCGCCTTGATTGTCAAAAGTCATTAGTTCCTTACAAATGCTATTTTTTGTCGAATTTTTGTATCGAAATTGCAAGCAACTTTCTACAACTTTTAAATTCCGGAATTATTATTCCGGAATTATTATATTAGAAAAAAAAATTATTTATTTTGGTAATACGCAATTTATTTGTTTAGAAGGCAGTGTGAGTTACAGGTGTCTGAAAATAGTTCACAATTTGTAGTCATTATAAATGGTACATTTTTTTAGACCGGAAATCCCTCCTCACCTTTGCTAATATCGCCTTGAAATATATTCTAAAAATTTGTGAAAATATATATGTAGAAGCACAGAACTAGTGGGAAATATTTTCTTACAAATAAAAATTACCAATTTTTCTTAGCTGATGACCCTAATTAGCAATAAAATTAAACTATTAATGATTAATACTTTTTTATATGTTCTCATCCTAAAAATATGCAATCCGAAAACTTTTTATATAATGCGCTATGAGAATGCTTTTAATTAAAAATTATTTAAGGAATATGTGCTACTCTCCAAAACGGTTCGAATTTTATTTTAAATAATTTAATTTTTTTTTTTAAATTTCAATTGATTGATGTAATCATAAGTTTGAAATACTATATGGAATTAATTTGATTGGAAAGTTTTTTGTTTTACAAATTTATTTGTTTGTCATATTACAAAAAATACATTCGATGGTATTCAATTAATCTCAAAGATTGGATAATATAAAAATAATAAAATTAAATATTATTGTTATTTCGGTTTGTTATGATTGATACTCTTGTATAATAAAGAGGAGTGTATTTTCAATGGTATTATTTTAATATTAATGGTAAATAATTAAAATGTGATTAAGATAATTTTCAGAATTATTCGATTTTTACTATTCGGAAAACATAAATTTTATAAAATTTCATTAAAAGTTGCATGCTAGAATTCTAGAATATCCTAGATTTGTATCCTTGAAATCCTAATGTTTAGAACTTTGTGTCAAATTTGATATCTATTGGTTTAAACAAAAGTTTTGCCATTTTACACGTTAAAGCAAATATTAATGGCTCACACTGTATGTATTGCTATATTACAGTATAAACCATAAAATTACAACATTTCACGTGTGTAGCCCATAAAATCAATTATTTTCAATAACAATGGCTGTCCTCTTAAATTACATACAAAATGTATGCCATCACGTAACTTTTTAATTAAATTCAGAAAAGAAAAAAAAAAAATTCAACTAGAATAACTTTAAATATAATTTAAATATATTTTGTATATGTGTATGTATATAGCTAGCATAAGGTTATACTTACAATACATAATGGTAAAACTAATCCAATTATATATAACATATAATTTTTAACGGTTGAATCATGGAAAGGATGTTTTAAGGACTCATCATCACAGAAGAAACCTCGTTTGTATGGTTCAACAAATAGGAAAAAACACAAAATTGGTAATCCAACTGCAATTTAATAAAAAAAAGAAAAAAAAATTATTATTATAATTTTTTTTTTGTGTGCGAATTACGCACTACAATTGTAGCATAAATATAAATAAATTTTAATATTTTTATAAAAATTTATAAAGAAAATTTTATTTAAAATTTAAAATATTTAAAAAAAAGAATATTTATAAAAATTTTTTTTAAAAATTTTTCCATTTTTTAACAAATTTTAAATTTAATAGCTATGGTTAATTTTTTCTTCCTCTTTAATTTGGAATTCAAACTTTACCCAAAAACTGTAGTCAAACAGTTTTTCTACAAAAAATTTTTTTCAAGTATCAATTAAATAATTTTTAATAGAATTCCGCGTCAAATACATATTAAGTAGGGTCTTTTGTGTTATACGTTATTTGTAGGTATTAAAGAGTATATAGTAAGTGTTTACTGACAAATTAAGTATGACAATTATGTATGCTTTGATATTTGATATTTTCAAAATGATTGAAACATTTTTAATTAAAAACAAACATAAATCTTTTGAAATGATTTGAACAAATATACACACGCATACATATATGAAGACAAAATAAAAATTATATAAAATTAATAATGATTCTTTAACAAAATATTAATCCCTATATAAATATAGAAAACATGTGTTCTTCTGAGCAAATAAAATATTTAAATACTATTTTACTTATGGCATTATGTTTTAATTTGTGAGTATATCAAATTTCAAATATAATATAATTAAGTTTGTGAGTAATTATGAAGATTGTGTTTATGAAAATGAAAGTGTGTATTAGTATATTCATTTATGTGTGTATTTAATTTTAATCGCCTGTTAAATTAATTTAATTTTAAAATTCATTCCAGATAAATAATCAATATTACAGATTTTTCTTAAAACAACAGGATTTCGAAAAATACATAAAATTAAAATGTCGAATAATATTTTGCACTATAAAAAAATGCTGCATAAACGGTATATTCTTCGAACATTAAGTTCATGTTGTTAGAGCTGCAAAGTTTTAGAAATTCAACCATTATAAGCACAAGCATGTTTAATATACGTAGTAAGAATTAACTAGGTTTTTATTTAAAATTCATTTTAAGTGAGTATATGAATGTGTGTATTATTTTTGAATTATTTATTAATTATGAATTTTAAGCATATAGAGAGACGGAATATAATTCAATATATTGTAACTCAAAATCGTGTTATATAACTAATTGTGTTGATTACTTAACTTTTACTTTAACTCCTATTTCGACCCCTACGTAATTATGAGTCCGGCTCTAACTGAAACTTCAGCGAAACTCTGACTTTATGGAAATTATTCCGAAATTTAAAATCAATTGGAAATATCAGCAATATGAATAAATGAACTAAGTACATGAACTAAGTGCGTATGTATGCCGCATTAAAGGAAAAACAAACAGTTTTATTCCAATTTTTATCAAAATATATTTTATTTTTTCTAGAAATTGCTATTATCGATTAAGAATATTAAAATTTCGATACAATTTTATGAACTTTAATTTCCGCCAGATGTCATTACACTTGTTTTCATTTCTTTCTAGTTTTTTGTTTTACTTATTCTTTTTCTAATTATTTATTCATATACAGTTAATTTTTTTGTATTTATTTAAGAATTACAATAAAATTTTTGTGTTTTTTTAAAAGAAAGTTGTTGAATTTATTTTGCTGTCATAAATTAATTCCAAAAAAATTTTTTTAATTTGATTTATTTCCTTTAATCTTAAAAGTTTTATTTTATGAACTCATACTTAAAAAGTTGTTTTTAACAAGAAATTAATTTATATTTTATTGATTCACTTTAAAATAGACGAATATTTTTTTTAGTAGCATTTTGTTCATGCTATGTCAGTCGACCAAATGTTTTATATAACATACATATGGGCATATTGTATGCAATTGTAAAAGTACGTGTTTATTAAAATTTATAACTCGCACATTTGCGAGAACAATGACATAAATCAAAATTCAGATTCGCAAATTTGCTTTTATTACTATTATACTTTAATATATAAGGCTATGACAAAATAACACAGAAAATTTCGTCAAATATACTTGTAGAATAGTTCTATATCAACAGTTTTTAGCCTTCGACACTCGGAATTAAATTACTCGGCTATAAATACTTTTCACACTCGGCTGTAAATAACTGCGAGAGTCGAACCTGTTTTTGAGTTGTGTCATTATTCTTCCTAATGTGCGAATTGTATTTACATTATATTGCACACAAGCTTTAATCAAAATATTTTAAACAATTTCCTATTATACTTTAGAATCTAGATAAATTTCAGAAAATGTTTCCGCTTACCGTTCCCCTATTAAAACTACTTGTAAAAATTTATTCAACATATTAAAAATTCATTCATAAGAATGGGTTCATAACCTGTAATAAAATTTCGGTTAGTAATAAGATTAACTGTTAATAATTTACCGTTTTTTTCATATTTTCTTTTTATTACAATTCTGTTCATATTTTATTTCTCTGAACGCTTGTGCTCGAGCAAAATGGAAAATATAAAAAAGAAACGAAATTAAAAAGTCAAATGCCCAAGTCTTTAATTCGAAATTGAAATGTAAATAAAAACAATTAAAAAATAAAAATACTAGAATTTACCGTAAATTATAAAAACTATAATAAATATATACCGGGAATAATAGCGGTATAAAAACAAACAAATAGTGTTTATTCTGTTTCTTTCTTTCGAATTTTTAGTAAGCAGAAAGAGAACAATTAAAAAATATTAAAAGAGAAAAAAGGAAAAATTATGAAATTGTTGCGTAAACATTATACAATACTGTTTTGTTGACATAATGAGTGTGTACACTATACAGTATCTATGTAAGTATGTTGGTACGCACTTGCTTGGGAATATAAAAAGCGCATTTATAAAGTCATAAAGCACATAAACATGAGGTTTTTGTTTATTTTATGTTCGTTTTTTTTAGGTCACATATGATTAGAAATTAAAATTAAAATTTTGTCAATAACTGCAGGGTGTGCATTAATTAATGTCCTTATTATAGGAATAAATTGACAAAATGGGAGATGAGCGTCGGAAATACATAATTATAATAGATGTGTCAAAAAAGTGTCAAATAAATTCAAATAAGAAAGGATCCACTTAGCTTATTTCGGGTGAACTAATAAACCGACAAAAAAAAATTGGCCTCACAATAAATGAGAGCAAAACAAAATATTTAAAAATGTCTCGAAACGAAAGACAAAGAACTCCACAAAACATAACAATTGGAGAATATAATTTTGAGGGAGTTGGAAGCTTCTACTATCTTGGAGTAATTATAAGTAATGAAAATAGTATGCAGCAATGCGTACAAGACAGAATCAATGCTGGAAATAGATGTTACTACGCACATAAGAGTTTGCTTTAATCAAAACTACTATCATGATCAAACAAAAATGATAGTATATAAAACTATAATACGCCCAATAGTGACTGGACACTAACAGCACATGACGAGAGTAGTCTAAGAATATTTGAAAGAAAAAAAATCCGAAAGATTTTTGGCGCAAGAAGAATAAATGATGACGAGCATGAAAGAAGAAGCAATGACGACTTAAGCCAATTAATCGGGCATGAAAATATCACACGTTATGCGAAGTCGCAACGCTTAAAATGGGCTGGCCATGTTGTTAGAATGGGAGAAAATAGAACGCAAAATAATATCTTCCGTGAAAAACTTATGGGCCCAAGAGCAAGAGTTCGACCAAGGACTAGATAGATGAACAATATAGAAAATGACACCAGAGTTTTGAAGGCCTCGAACTGGAAATCAGCGGCACAAAATAGAGACCAATGGAGACAAATTGTGAAGCAGGCCAAAGTTCACCCCGACCTGTAGAGCTTCATGATAATAAACGATCACAAGAAGAATTAGTTTGACTTGTTCTATAAGAAGACTTAGTTTGACTAAGTTCGCATAAATTTTAGGTATGATTGTGGAAAATAGTGAAAATTTTGTTCAGAAAAATAACAAGGTTGGTACCTTGGTTTTTATATTAAACACTGCAACATTTTCCCAATTTTAAATAACATTCTAAGTTTTTAATGAAAAATCTAAAAAAATGTCTAAAAAAAAATTTAAAATAAATGCATTTAGTTTTTAGGTTAAATGACAGAAATTGTTAATTTCATAATTAAATCTGGTCTTAATTTGTTAAAAATGAATTTTATAACAGAAACGTATAACATTAATAAATTTGATTAATGTGTTAAATGATTGTATATTTATAAATTAATAAAATATATAAAAGAAACAAAAAAAAAAGTAAAAAAACAATTTATTAGAATTTTTTTTTAATTTTTTGATTATCTTTATACCAAAATGGAAAACAATTAACATAACAGGCACGTGTTAAAATTTTAATAAAAAAAATGTGATTAAATTTTTTTATAAGCTTTTTATGTTTTTGTCATATAATTCAATTTATGTGATAATATTTAAAACAAACATACGTACATGATACATAATGTATATAACAAATATGCACTTAGTATAACAGTAATCAAATAATTAATTATGTGTATTTAATGCAATTACAAAATTATATTTTATATTTACAACTTCAAATGACATTTTATGAGTGAGTTAATAGAATTATGAAATATCAACACAGATCAGACAAACACGTGTTAAATTATAGGTTAAACTATTATTTACACATTCATGTTAAGATGAAAGAGCAGTTTATTTGATCTAAAAGCTGAAATAATTCAAACAAATGATAAGAATTTCTAAGAGTGAGTTTAACGCACACCAGTGGGTTTATGTATAACTTAAAAGAGAAATTTTTGACTTTTCTTTTGACTAGAGATAAGAAGTATAAGTTAATTGGAAGAGGGAATGGTAAGAAAAGTTAACGGTAAATCACGTATATTTTCTGATTTATTGCGAATTATTCTATTTGAATGTTAACGGATGTAAATTTGAAGTAGTATAACAATATTTTTAATAACTA